AACGTTTCTCTATACGATGGGTCTTGAAAGAAGAGCATGCATTTGCTACACCAGGCATCTGTAAAAGATTTTTTAAAAAAACTAAGGTGTGCAGGTGAATCAAAATTTCCTCTCTTTGTTTATACAAACAGAGGCCTTGTGCCTGTTTGATGCCATATGCATCATTCAAATTCTCTGTGCCAGGCTGGTACTGTTGTGCAAGGTCATGGTTCTAAAACCGTTAATGTCGAAGTTGTATTAAGCTCCACCCAATCTGATGATGTTACACACAGTCTTTGGGTGAAGGATCTAGAAGGAGGTCTCAATGAAGACAGACATGTCCACCTCTGGCTCCTGATCATTTTAAGTAAACAGGCTTAACTAGTCAATGTAACATGCACTTATTGTCAATGTTGCCTCTAAGCTGTGCAACTCTTCCAAAGTCAAACTAATTGGTTTTAGAGGTCAATGCCATGCATAGGCCTCAGAGGTCCACACCCTGAAAAAAATTTAAGCAATATTCCCGCTATTGCTGTTATCTAAAACAACAATAAGTTAGTTAATTGAACAAGTGCCTTTTCTGATTAAGATGCACCAGTAATCTACCCTCACCACTGACAATAAGGCAGGCCTTTTGACTCAAGAGACATACTGACCAGTGGCAGTACTATATTTCAATCATCTAGAGCCCAATACAATATGGTGATCAGTAGTGGGCAGGATTGCTGAAAATAAAAATTCCGAAGAATTTAACACTAGGAACATTACCATTTTATGAAGACCCAAACAGCCAGTCAGCAACTGAGGCACAAATCCAACAAGCAGTTCACAGCACTCATGGGGGCAGCAGAATGAAAACGCCAGAAGATGATCTGCATTTCAGAGTTGGTAAGAAACACAAGAAAATCAGTGCAGGCTAGGAAGGAAGTACAAGCTAGCCATGCTGGGAAAAGACAGAGTCCTTAGAGAGGGAAGCTCCAGAAGTAAAGCTAGAGATTGACAGGAAGGGGCAAAAGGTACAATAACAGTGCAAACACAATAGGCTGGAAAGGATAGGAGGGAAAAGGGTATACCTACCCTGCAAGGCAAACATTGACATTAATCACAAGTGGGCTCCATATAACAAAGGCCTGAAAATTAATTTATTGTAAGGCTACCGTATCAGAGAAATGGGAATTTATTTCATAGAACAAAAAGGGAAATTGTAAAAGATTTGAAGAACGACTCTAACAGAGGAAGAAAGTGGAAGAATCTTAAGATTTTTGGAATGTTGGAACATTCAAATTTTAAAACCAGAATATTGTCACCAAGAATTAAGATGATAACTACAGGTCTTTATTTAAATTTTGTGCAAGTGGGTCATGGAAAATAGGAAATGTCTATTTTCAAAAGGGAAAAAAAAAAATCTAAACATTGGAAGAAGTAATGTATGAAGAAATAATACTTCCAAACAGATTCAGTGTCAAAGACTGGCCAAACAGAACACAGGATTGGACACCTTAGAGAAAATTTGTGACAAACAGATAGTGATTAATTTTGAAACCCAAGTCTGAAGCTGAACAAGTCATGACACGATAGTATTAACAGTGTCCTATGATGTTACTAATCGCAAAAATAACAAAGAAGGCACAGATGTTTTTGAACAGATTCAGTCAGCCTAGAGACCAAACAAAATTCTTGAAAGGGCAAGACTTGCCAAAAAAAAAAGCTCAGCATCCAGGGGAATCGGTCAATAATTTAATGAATGATTTCAGCAGATTAGTTTTTGTTAAAAAAAAAAGCGTGCCTGTAGAGCTTTGAAGTCAAAAGAGGCAGAAAAGATTTGTTGTATTTTTGAGATAGTGGGAACTGCCGATGCTGGAGAATCTGAGATAACAAGGTGTAGAGCTGGATGAACACAGCAGGCCAAGCAGCATCAGAGGAGCAGGAAGGCTGATATTCCAGGTCTGGACCTTCTTCAGAAACCGAAACATCAGCTTTCCTGCTCCTCTGATGCTGCTTGGCCTGCTGAGTTTATCCAGCTCTACGCCCTGTTGTATTTTTGATATTTTTTGTCAAATTTCTTAATGTCCAAAGAAAAATTAATTTGAATATCTTTCTCCAAAGTTATGTAGGAAGCAGAAAGCAGAAAGTTCCTGAGAGGAGAAGAGCAACAGAACCAATTCACTTTAAGTAGTCTAGAGGGGTCTGTGACAAGCCAGCACAAAGAGTAAGCAAAACAGCAGAAACATACAGACTTCTTGGTAAGGTCCTGGGGAGCATTGCTGAACAAAGAGACCTTGAGATGCAGGTTCATAGTTCCTCGAAAGTGGAGTTGCAGGTAAACAGGATAGTGAAGGTGGTGTTTGGTATGCTTGCCTTTATTGATCAGTGCATTGGGTATAAGAGTTGGGAGGTCATGTTGTGGCTGTACAGGACATTGATTAGGCCACTTTTGGAATACTGCATTCAATTCTGGTCTCCCTGCTATAGGGAACATGTTGTTAAACTTGAAAGGGTTTGGAAAAGATTTACAAAGCATGTTGCCAGGGTTGGAGGTTTGAGCTACACAGAGGTTGAATCAGTTTGGCTGCAATTTCTCCCACTCATGCTGTGCATGCTACAATTAAACACCAATCATCTGTATAGTAGTTAGCCAGGCACACTGCAAAGAGTAGGAATCTAAAGGGTAGGTTTTAAGCAAGAGCTGTCCGGTCTGTGATCATGTACAAGATCAGAATCAAGATCAATTATTCTCAAGCCACAGAGTTACAGATATTCCAATTAAGGGAATGTGTTCTGGATGAATTGTGCAACCTCCAGAGAGCCTGCATTTAAGAAACTAGAGACTTGGAAGAAGATGGGAACAAATGGTTAGTGCTTATACACAAGCGTATAGATGTTAACTGTAGAGGGAAAAAAATGCTTGTGTGGAGATGTTGTACAAGGTAATGGTTCTGAGAGAGTTAATATTGAAGTTGCATTAAGTTCCACCCAATATGATAATGTCACACAGCCTTGGGATGAAGAATCAGGCAATCTAGCATGCAGCTCTTATGGAGACAGATCAGTCATCTCTGGCTGTTGATCGTCAGAAGTTGGACAATGTAACTTGTATCTATTACTAGCATGCACAAAATTACCTCATGTAAAACTAGTGATCTTCTTGCTAAGACTCACTGTGATCTATCCTCTAATTATCCACTGATAAGCAAACATAGCATAGAAAGGAAAATTAGTGGCAGCATTATTATTACTTCTCCACCCATAACCCAATGCAACAGTTACTTTCAAAAAAAAATGCATAATGCCTAACCTTACAGGAAACTTGACAGGCACAAGTTTGGAACATAGTGGAATGTGGAGCAGAGCGGTCAGGAAATTTTCTAGCCAAGGACCAGTACTGACTCCGCTGGAGTCCTCCCTCCATTGCCCCATTTCTCCCCTGAGCACTTACCTGAAGGTTTTGTAGGAACACAATGACAAATATTGCTGTCCTGTTCACCAAAATGTTTCAGGAGATCCAGCAAGATTGACTCAAGGCCCAAAATTGGCTATGTGCAAACTGTTTTCAGTAATGACTGAGCATTATAGCCATATTCAACTTCTACTGAGCAGTTAACACTGAACATTCAGATTGATTGTTTTAAAGATAATCCCAGTGAATGGCCCCTTTGTTAGTCAGCTGATGTAATAAAATCAGTTTAGCTGCAATTTCTCCCACTCATGCTGTGCATGCTACAATTAAAACACCAATCATCTGTATATCAGTTAGCCAGGCACACTGCAAAGAGTTGGAGTCTAAAGGACAGATTGTAAACAGGAGCTGTCTGGTCTGTGATCATATACCAGATCAAATGTTGTTAAATGTAGTACAGAGGATTACACAAAAACAAAGCAAAGATTTGGACTGGGTGTTGTGTTTAAAATAGTTCATGACACAAATAGATCATTGATGCCTAAAGAAAGTGGAATGCCTCAGACAAAGATCAACACAGGCAGACAACATGTCGACACTGCACTGCCTTCAATGCAAGGGAATTCAGCCCCACACACTCCAACTCCAGATCAGTGTTACAGCGGGTACCTCCAGTCTTTATAAATCATGCTAATATTTCTCCAGTTTCTTAACAGTACTATTACATATCGCTTAACAGTTAAAGAGTTATGTGAAGTCAGAATAAGAGATTTTAGAAATAAAAGTTATTAACTACAATTATATTCAGATGGCTGTGTGAAAATATCATGCTATAGGAATATAAAAGCAGTAGGAGGTCATTCAGCCCCAAGAACCTGTTTCACAATTTAATTGGATAATGGTCAATTTACATCTTAACTCCATTTAGCATATTTTTATTCCTTATCCTTGGACTCTCTTATGCAACATCTACTATCTCAGTCAATTGACTCACAGCAACGATGACTTTTTGGAGTTCCACAACACTATACAAAAGGATATTAAAGCCATTTGTGTGTAGTGCACTTCTTCAGGATTGAAAAGTTATCACGTGGAGACACTTGAGATGTTGGAAACGTAACCATTGAAATGGAGATGTAATTGATTTTTTTTTTAAATTGTGGGCACCACTGACTGGTCCAGCATTTATTGCCCAGAGGGCAGTTAAGAATCAATGACATTGCTGGGGTCTGGAGTCACATCTAAGCCAAACCAGGTAAGGACAGCAGTTCCCTTCACTAAAAGGATATTAATGAACCGGAAAGGTTTTTCCTGACAATTGGCAATGGTTTCATGATTACCATTGGCCTCTCATTTCCAGGTTATTGAATTCAACTTCCACCAAACATGGTGGGATTCAAACCCAGGTCCCCAGAACCTGGGTCTCTGGATTAATAGTCCAGAGATATTACCACTAGGCCATCATCTCGGGAGTAGGTGAGAACATGGAGTAATCAGATCAGCCATGATTTTATTGGAGGGCAGAGCAGGTTTGAGGAGGGTCTGAAAGGCCTGCTCCTGTTCCTAGTTTGTGTTGCTTCAGTGTATACAGTCATCAGCAAGTGGTGGGAATGAACTTACAAACCTCGAGGATGCAGTTGTTCTACTTCTCCATCGGCCATGCTTACAAGCATTTCTGGGTCTTCCCCCAGTCCTGTGGGGTTCAATATTAAAGGCCTCCTCCTTCTGTCACTATTATTGTGGGATGCCTTGTCCTGTAATTAAAACATAAGAAGTGAGGCATTCTAGTTCCCAAGAAAAGATGTGGCAGTAGCTTTAGTCAGCATAGTGATAGCCACCCATCCAGGCATCACACAGTTGTCTTAGATGCAATGCTTCTGTTGAGGTTGAATGTATACATGAGTGAGGGAGCACTCAGTGGTGGAGGCTGAGAAACCGCCAAGTTGCCCCACCCACCTAATGGGCACTCATAGGTAAGTTTGAAAGTACTTAAGGAAGCATAAGCACTGATTGTTTCTAATAAAACAGTTTCTTGTGTTATGGACCAGACCAACCCCCTTCAAAACATTAACAAGATAGCCTAGATCATAACTTTTCTCATTTTAAAGGCAAGTGCCAGGCGTTGCATTCCAGATGTGATTTGATTGGCCAAACTACCAGTCTTGACACAAAACACACTTTATTCATACATTATACTTAAAATATGCAAAAAAAAAGTTAGAATATTTAACTGTATTGGAAAATTTAACAGAATAATAGATACTTAACTCCTAAATAGTAACTGTTCTAATATAATAACATCTCATAAACAGACCCTTGGCAAAGGCAAATTCAGTAAAATTAATTGTCTGACATGCAATTCTAGAGCAAGAAGAGAACCCCAGCTTTTAGCTGTAACAGAAAGGAAAAATAGCTTCCACACCCAGCTTCAAGATCCCAGCAGCAACTACTACTAAAAATCCTGGTTTTGTGGGAGCTTGACCCCAACCATTCAGGTTGATTCTAACGTTCTAACTTTTCAAAAAAACCCCAAGGCCTGACAAGCTATTTACTTTCTTGGCTTTGGAGCAGACTGCTCATCACCTGTCTCAACCTTTCTTCATAAATAAAAATGTGATAAAACACACCTCTTAAAGACACAGTGTCATCACACCTGGCTCGGTTTCCTACATTGCCTGGCCAGGTCCCTTATACATCAAAATAATACTCATTGGGAGTTGTTCTATTAATTTTACAGTTTCAGGTGCTAAAAGAGCCAATTACCACTTTTGTATGAGTATCATTATCAAAATAAAACAATTTCCATAATCACAGTAATAACAAAACCAATGCAATATTACTGCCATGCCACTACAGATTCATCAACGTAGAACATACACAAGTTATCACCGAAACTCCTGGATAAGTATCATTACTTTATTATCATGAGCAATACCTAAATGCTACCATTTAATATTGTGCGTCAGATGCAATTGAGCATTCTTACCTCAGAGTCAGAAGGTTGTGAATTCAAATTCTACTAAATACTTACAAGCACAAAAATCTAGTTAAATGCCACATGAAAGTACAGAGGGAGTGCTGCATTGTCAGAGTTGCTACCTCTTAGACAAGAAATTAAAACAGTTGCCCAATTGTCCTCTCAGTTGTATATATAAAGATCCTATTTCACTACCATCTTCAGATAGTGCATCGATGATCAATACTTAACCTCCAACACTGAAAAATAGATGATGTTCTGACTGTTTTTAGATGTTTGCTGTCAGCTGCGATGTTTTCCACTTTCCAACAGTCTCTAAGCTTCAAATTGTCAAAGAACAGTAAGATCACCTTGAATTTTATTTTTATAAAAAGTTTTGTTACGGGATGTGGGCACCACTGGGCTATGCCAGCATTTACTGCTCATCCCTTGAGAAGGTGGTGGCGAGATGCCTTCTCGAACCACTGTAGCCCTCATGCTGTTACCCCACAACACCGGTAGGAAGGGAGTTCCAGAATTTTGACCCAGTGACAATGAAGGAATAGTGATATATTGCCAAGTCAGGCGGGTGAGTAACTCCAAGGAGAGCTCACAAGTAATGGTGTTGCCATGTATCTGCTGCCTTCAGTAGCGATCATGGATTTGGAAAGTGCTGTCCCAGAAGATTAGTTTGAGAGACAGTTCTCCCAGTTTAAGCATTAGCCCTCAGAAGTTAGTAAGGAGGACTTTCAAGACTGAGTTTATCATTGTTGATTCTAGTGAATAGGTCGATACTTGGTTCTCCGTTTGTTTCATTCCTTTCAGATATTTTAAGCAGTTTGACATAACTCTATAATGGCCTTAACAGCCACTGGAGGGCAGTTAAGAGTCCACCACATTGCTGCAGATCGGAAAACACATGTAGGCTAGACTGGGTAAGGGTCGCAGGTTTCTGTTACTAAGTGAACAAGCTGGATTTTTATGATGATTGTCATCTGTCTATTGCAGATTCTTTGAATTCAAATCCCATCAGCTACACCTGCTATGCTGGGAGTTAAACCTCGGTCCCCAGTGCATACAACCACCTCCTTGAGATTTCTTGCTCTCCAAACAAAAATTCCCAACATCCAGTACTTCTGCTAAAGTCCACAAAATGAAACAAATGCAGAATTTTCAGTCATAGACAATAGTGGAGCTAATGAGGAGGCTCAAAATTGCAAGATTCTTTCTGCTGCTAAGCCTGGCTGTGAAGACACATATTGCAATTAATTCAAAGAAGAATTAAAGGCAAAGTTAGAAACAAATTCCTTGCAAAGAGGTCTGGTATTCCCTGGAGATTCAAAAGGGAACTGATAGCATTAAAAAAAGAGCAATATTGAATGGCATGATAGGAGTGGGATTAGACTGGATGGGATAATAAGGGGGAGGGGGGGGTGAGCAGGAATGTAGGATTAGAATGGGGGGTGGGGGGAGCAATATTAAAAAGGTACAGGGCGTGAGGGTGAGGAAAGAGTGGGATTAGACTGTGCAGGATACTAAAGAATGTGTGGAGTCAACAAAAATGTGGGATTGGCCTTCCCTGGTCTACGGAAAACAATCGCAGCCTATCTATTCTCTCTTCATAACTGAATCGCTCAAGTTTCGATAACGCCCTGATGAATCTTTTCTGCATCACCGCTAATACAATCACATCCACCCTATAGTGTGGCGACAAGAACTGCACACAGTACTCCAGCTGTGGCCTAACATTTATACCACTTGCATCACAGCCTCCTTAGTTCTTGTATTCTCATAGAACCCCTGCAGTGTGGAAATAGACCCTTCAGTCCAACAAGTCCACACCAACCCTCAGAGCATCCCACCCAGACCCAACCCCCTATAACACCCCTAATCTACACATCCCTGAACACGACGGGCAATTTAGCATGGCCAATCCACCTACCCTGCACATCTTTGGACCGTGGGAGGAAACCAGAGCACCCGGAGGAAACCCACGCAGACACAGGAAGAATGTGCAAATGCCACACAAAAAGTCCCAACATCCAGCACTTCTGCTAAAGTCCACAAAATGAAACAAATGCAGAATTTTCAGTCATAGGCAATAGTGGAGCTAATGAGGAGGATCGAGGGTGGAATCGAACCCGGGTCCCTGGCACCGTGAGGCTGCAGTAAATATTCAATGCCGGTTTCCCTAAACCAGATGTCAGGCTCACTGGCCTGTTTCCTGATTTGTCCCTACCACCTTTCGTGAATAATGACATCATATTAGCTAACCCCTTGTCCTATGTCACCACTCCTATGCTCAGAAAGGATTTGAAAATTAATGTCACGGCCCCCGCAATCTCCTCCCACAGCAGCTTGGGATACATCTCATCTGAGATTCTGTGGATGTATCCATTTTCAATCCTACTAAAACCACTAATGGTTCCTCCCTCTGATCAAGTATGTTACAGTCCCCCTCCCTCATTTCCATACCCATATCGTCCTTTTCTACTTGATATCTGTATTCAGCGCAACCACTTAAATCCCACTGATGTCTTCTAACTCCACACACAGTTGGTTACTTTCATAGAATCCCTGCAGTGTGGTGCAGGCCATTCAGCCTATCGGGTCCAACACCGACCCTCCGGGCAGCATACCACCTAGACCCCACCCCATCCCTATAACCCTGCATTTTCCATGGCTAGTCCACCTAACCTGCACTTCTTTGGACTGTGGGAGGAAACCCACACCGGCACAGGGAGAATGGTGAGATAACAAGGTGTACAGCTGGATGAACACAGCAGGCCAAGCAGGAAAGCTGA